AGGTCTAGTGTTAGCCAAATATGTTAGACTTCCCACTAGATTGCGATATATAGATGCATAGACCAAATCACATTCGTCATCCTTTGAATGTTTCTTATCAACAAAAAGGGTATTAATTGTTTGCCGTTCAACATCTGAAACTGCTTCAACAGATTTGTAGCACACTTCTCTTAGCTAATGAAACTTCCAAATTTCAATTTCAGAATTTACATTCCTAGAAAATAATTCAATCACCCAAATTAGACATCTCAAACGCCTTTTTCATTTATTTCTTGAATTCAACCACTTATATTTCATCACTTTATATTATCAACAAATCATCAACAAATCATCAACATAGATAGATACAATGAGAATATTACTTTGTTTTCTTTTATTAACATACAAAGTAGTATCAATATAGTTTCTGATAAATCAACATTGTTGCAAGAATTCATCAACTTTCTTGTACCAAGCTCTTGGAGCTTGTTTTAAACTATACAAAGCTTTGTGCAATCTTAAGAACAAGATTTTCCCTTATGTAGCTTTGAATCCTTGTGGTTGTTCAACATTATTTTTTTCTCCCAATTCTCTATTAAGGAATGTTGATTTGACATCCAAAATAAACAATTCTCATCCCTCTTTTGAAGCTAGAGCAATAAGTAATTGAATGGTATCAAATCTTGTCACGGAAGCAAAAGTCTCTCCGTAATCAATTCCAACTATTTTGTGCAAAACCTTTAACAACTAGTCTTGTTTTCAACTCATTGAGTGTGCCATCTGAATTCAGCTTTTCTTTATAAATCACTTATATCTCCAAAACATTCCTTACTTCTGATTTAGTAACCAATTCTCAAGTTTCATTCTTTATAATATTGTCAATCTCATTTTTCTTTTCTTGAACCCAATCTTCATTCTTCACAGCTTCTTCAAGGCTTATAGCTCAATTGCAAAGTTGCATTTTTCATATATCTCTTACAAGCTTCTTATTATTATTTTCTTCTTCTTCTTCTTTCATTTTTATCTTAATCATCATCACTAGTTTTAGATGTAGAACCAATAATGTCAACATTTGATGAGTTCTCTCCAAGCTTCCATAGGATCTCTATTTGTTGTAACTCCCAATTCCAATAGCTTCATTCATCAAGGATAACATCTTGGCAGATTTTCACTTTGTTTGTTTACAAATCATAAACTCTTTTGTTCTTGAAGCATGACCAAAATAAATTTCAGGCTGTAATTTATGCTCCAAATTTACTTCTTGTAGGTTCTGGAATATGTACATAACAAATGCACCCAAAAACTTTTGAAGTGTTTTGTAGAGGGCTTGTTTCCACTCAAACTCTCAGTTGGTGTAATATCTCTCATTGAAGTAGTGTAACACCTATTTTGAAGGTAGACAACAATATAGACAAGCTCTACCAAAAACTTATTTGGTAGCTTTACCTCAAGTAGCATGTATCTCAATATTTCAACAATATCTTCTCTTCATCTCTCTATTCTGTTTAGGAGAATATAGTGTTGTGAGCTGATGATCAATGTCATTATCATGGCAAAAAATGTTGAAAGCACTTGAATTATATTCCATTCCATCATCGATTCGAATGCCTAACAACTTGCAACCACTTTGATTTTCTGTCATCACTATAACTCTTTTGAACACTTCAAAGACTTGGGATTCCTGCTTGATAAAGTTTATCCAAATCATTCTTGTCAAGTCATCTATAAACAACACAAAATATCGTTTTCCATTGCATGATTCAGTTTTCATAGGACTACAAACATTCGAGTGAACAAGTTGTAATTTTCTTTCAGCTTTCCATGCTTCTGACTTGGGAATCTTACCCATTTGTTTCTTTCTAAATTAGAAAACAATGCATACTTCATTTGCTTTTGAGCTTGTAATTTGCTAACAAGTTTATCCACTAATAAATTTTTCAAATTACATGCCTCTACAATAACACTTTAGCTTCAACTCGTGATGGAAAGTTTATTAGTATTTTATCAACCACTTTTTGATTCATTCTCTTTCATTTTTAACAACGCAAGTTTCCTCTTGAGAGTAAGATCAACAAGCTTGGAGGAGTATTCCTTAACAGTTAATAGATTAATAGTATCTTATTTTTAACAACTCAAGCTTCCTCTTGGGAGGTTTTACCCTTTTCATTTGAGCTATGGTTGGATCTTGTGTCAATGGAACAAGTTCTCTTTCATTTTCACCAACAACCCATAAACTTAAAGCCTCTAAATATGTGACATTCCGGCCCGCAAGTCACACATATTGGGTGTGTCGGCCCTTGGAGACTTCCCAGAAAATCATCAATCCTCAAATTAATTTAGATCAAGCACAATTAACTCTAACGTTCCTTCAAGTGAGCTCCCGAAAAAAAAAAGATGGACATTGTTGACATGATTAGTCTATTCAATCAACTTAATTTATATTAAATCTCGGATGGTCTAACACCGGCTCATCCATACACGAAAATTGGCCTAACCCGGCCCAACTCCGGAAATATCACAAAATATGTCTTCATCTTTATAGCCCATATCAAATAATTTTCCTCATCGATCAAATAGGAAGGCCCGTATCTCAACGATTTAATGCAGCCATCTCTCTTCAAATCTCAATCTTTGAAATCAACTTGAAGGTCCGTTGGAGAAGAATCCTCTGATACCACTATCGATAAAACCTAAAGCTACTTATCACATATCACAAATCTCCTTCAAACAAGGGCAACAACATAGAAGTCAAAACTAGAGAAAGAAAAGCCGAGATGAAAACTGCTCTATTTCATTACTTAACAAAATAATATATTACAAAATTATATATATATCCCTCTAGCTTCTCCAAGAAGATTTTCCAAACTAAATAATAGCTACAGATTTTACTTTACAACTCATCAATATATTAATAGTTAAAATAATAAACAAAAAATATCAAATAAGATTTTTTTTATTACTCTTATTTATAAAATCTCAAATATTAACATTATATGTTTAATCCTTCAACTATAAATTTAGAAAAAATGGTTTTCTGTCTTTGTTAAGTTATTACTAAGTAGGTTTGCCGATGTTGATTTGACGCTATGTAACTAATCTGTGAGCGCAACATCAACGTCAAGTAAATTTTCAATTTTATTTAAAAAAAAAATCCAAAAATTTCTTGTGTAAGCGGAACCTTTCAACATTTTCTTCTATATAAATATTTATTTGACAACTCTCTTTGTATTCCAAAAGCTTTGAGTATAGTCCAACAATTACAATTAAATGGTGAGGTAGCAGATTACAAAGCCAAATGATACTCAAAGTCATTGGATAGGGCAATGAAGATTGGATGCACAAGTGATCGAAAAGCAGCGTGTACATGGAAATGGAAATAAATAATTCTGATAGTCATTTAAATTTATTTGCTCAAATGAGCGCATATTTGGACGAGGAGTAGTATTCATCTTATAGTATTTATTAATTACTCATAGCATATTGTAGGCATTAAAAATTAAATGTCCAAATTAAATTAAATATCATGACTTTTGGAAGAAAATAAAATTTCAATAAAATAAATATATGGTATTTAATTATGTACATATGTTAATTTTTGTACAATAAATATCAACTATGAATGCAAAAATCTGCTTAAAATGAAAGATATCGTACAAATATTATGTGGATAAATAGAGCCATAATAAATTTGGCAGCAAAATAAATTAATCTTGTCAATAAATGAAGTATTATAATTAATATCTTTTGAAAAAGACAATGATATAAAGATCTTGGCGAGAAAGGAAGGTGCACAATCAAATCCGTCAAGAAAGGAAGGCCAATTAGGACGCGCCAGGTGACATCATTCGAAAAGGAAGCCGAGACCACCCCTCTCCTATAAATAGGACTCATGGCCAATTCATTTGATACACTGAAGTTACATCGAGGATTCAAGCAAATGGGTAAATCCCTAGATTGTCTATGTATTGTTCTTCATGTTCTTCGTGTCTTTCAAGACATTCTTCGTCGAAAGTCACCAATTTGGACAAATGATCCAATATTGATTGACGAATAGATGAAGTTAACATTCGTCGTCGTATGCCCAAGCCGAAGGAAAGAACAAAGCTCCAAAAGCCGTTCAAGGATCCATCAAAGCTAAAGAAGAGCCTCCCAAGTTCATCCCGAACTTTCAAGGTGTTCGTCACGTTTGTTGTCAAAAGCATCAACTAGGTCTTCTTCGATCCAAAAGTCAAAGGGACACATTGCCAAAAGTGTTATGAAGCACCAAATTCACCTCTTCAAAGATCAAAGCCTCGGATCGTCCAAAAAGACATCAAATCCAAAGCCGACGATCAAATTCCTACACTGAGACCAAAGTCCTCAAGAACTCGGCAAAACCAAATCGAAGATTAAAGCCACAGATCGTCCAAAAAAGACATCAAATCTAAAGCCGACTATCAAATCGCTCACACGGAGACCAAAGCCCTCCAAAAGCAAGCAAAGCCAAACCAAATATCAAAGCCTCAGATCGTCCAAAGAAGACATCAAATCCAAAGCCGACGATCAAGTCTCCCATAGGGAGACCAAAGCTCCCCAAAAGGCGGCAATGCCAAACCAAAGATCAAAGCGTCGCATCGTCCAAAGAAGATACCAAATCCCAAGCAGCGTCCACATGGAGACCAAAACCCTCCAAAATACGGAAAAGTCAAACCGAATACCAAATTCCTTCAGATTGTCCAAAAGAGACATCAAATCCTAAGTCTAAGCTGAGGATCAAAATCACCTGCATGAACACCAAAACCCTCTAATGTCCGGGAAATCCAAACCGAATAACAAATTTCTTCGAATAAAAAAAGTCATTCAAATCTAAGTTGGAAAACAAATCGACTCGGAAAGAGAATCAAATGACCCAAATAGAGAATAAAATCGACTTTAAATCCAAATTAAATATAATTTGTACAAATTTTGTGTTTATTAAAAATAACACAATTTTTTGTCCTATCATAAATAAATAAATAAATGGTTTTAAGGTAGGTAGGCAATAAAAAAATTAAAAGCTTTAGCTCTCACCAACTCGATCACTATGTACTATACTCTCCCTTCCCTCTCTATACAATATCTTCATAATACAATTCTGATGATCAACTTCATCGAGATTTACATATCAAGTCAACACAAGCTAGCCAAGTGATGATGATACAACAAACAAATAAACAAACAAACAAAAACTTTGCTGCTGCTTATTATCATTATAAGTAAAATTTGTAGTCTTTGGCTTGGAGTATGATCTGCCTCAATCCTCCCAGTGGTCCCACAATCGTCAAAAGTACTCCGAATACGATACATACCTGCATGCCAACACCTCTCAAAACTTGTTCATCATAACAGAACAGAACCACATCTTCAAGCCAAGAATTAAGGAATTAATTACCCAATTAGCCAACCAAGATAGGCTGAATGCTCGTGGTTTCCTAATGCAAAGCCATATGATACAGGGAAGCTGCAAATAAATAAAGGGAAAACTATTTTTTTAGTCACGCATCTGACTTTTTTTATCATTTTAGAACTTTAAATAGACCTGTCCGAAAATAGTTCTGTAAGTAAATTTTTTTCATTAAAATGATCCTCCGGTGCCGGAGTTGCCACGCTGGCATGCAGTTGCTGACATGGCGTGACGTGACTGACAAGTCATTGCCACATAGATGCCACGTCAGCGATACGTGGAATTTTTTTTATTTTTTATTTTACAAAATATCTTGGTAAACTATTTTTTAGTCCCATATATGATCTCATTTATCAATTTTAGGACATTTAAATGGACTTTGTTTTAAAATAGTCCTGCATGTAAAATTTTTTCGCTAAAACGGTTCTCCGACGTGGCATTTACGTGGTGATGACATATTAGCCACGTCAGCGCCACGTCAGCAACGGCTGCCAGCGTGGCGAGTCCGGCACCAGAGGACTATTTTAGCGAAAAATTTTTACTTACGGGACTATTTTCAGACAAGGTCCACTTAAAGTTCTAAAATAATAAAAGAGATCAGATACAACACTAAAAAACAATTTACCCATAAATGAATTAATATAAATATATTCGATGCCGAAAGAATATATTCCCACCCTTTGTAATTCTATATGTAATGCAATGTGCAAATAAGTAGATATAAATATAAATATTCTTGCAACTTACAAAGTATGTCGTGGGAGCAAAGGCGAACCCTCCAAAGAATCCAAGCAGCCCTCCAAAGAAAGGGAATGTGATGGCAATGAACATTGTGAATGCTGATTTAATTGAATTTGCACAAAACTTATAACATCAATGCCACTTTATACAAACTTAAAAAACACACTGAAGAAAGGCGTCGATTATTACCGACATAAACATTCCTCGTAATAAACCGCAGATACCAAGTTGGTCTGAACTTGAGTTTCTTCACAAGCACAGTTTCCATCATGTCGAAAACCGGCATTGCATATATCTGGATCACTCCAAGAATCATCACTTAATTAGCCGTACAAACAGAACACAATCGAGTTTTAGGGCGATTGATCGATGATCACCTGATAGCTTCCAATGAGATGAACAACAACAAACATGTTGGCCATGGCGATCAGCCATTTGGGGTTGTGCAGAGTGATGAGAATGTTCTCCTCTACGTCATTCCCGAACATGGCGTACCCAACCAGAGCTACCGGGAGGTAGCACACCGCCACTATTATGTAAGCAACAATAACTCCTCTCAGCATAGGCCCCTTTGATGGCTTCTCCGATGTCGAAGGCATAGTCGCTTGAATCTCCATCACCACATTGTGCCCTCCGTAAGCGAAAACGACGCTCCCCAATGCACTGAAGAAGTTAAATACAGTGCCGGCAGTGGTGCTCGATTTGTACCCGTATTCAACGTTAGGCTGCATCCCCTTGTGAATTGACGCGCTCCACGCAATTGTCGAGTAGCTGCACACATATATATATATATATATATGTATGAACTTGTGTAATTTGTTGATTGTATGAAGAAGTTGGTTTGTTATTGTTAGATACCTGAGGGACATAACTGCGGCGGCTAAAGAGACGCCGGATATGGAATTGAAGCTGGGGAGTTGGGAGAGGACCAAGTGAACAGAGGCGAAGATCATGATGAAATAGGTGAGCCTTATGTCAACGCAATTGGGGCAAACCGACTGGTGGAATTTCCGGAGAGATTGGCCGCCGGTGATCATGTAAACGATGTCGACTCCAACTTCGACGATCAGCTGCTGAGGCACGACGATCCACAAGCCGAGCTTTTCGCCGAAAGCGTACTGGCCGAGCTCGTGGTACCTGTCGAAACGTTTTCCGCCGGGGACGATCTCGTGCATCTCCACCATTTGCCAAAGGGAGTAGAGAGTGACGATCCAGGAGACGACTAGGATTGCAATTCCAGGACCCCTGACAATTGATATGAAATGAAAATTGCATTTAGAAATGGAAATGGAAATGAATTGAATTAGTTAGGGTTAGGGTTAGGAGGTACCATCCGAGCTCGGCCATGGCGTAAGGGAGGCCGAGGACTCCGGCGCCGACAATAGCGGTGACATTGTGGAAAGCAGAGTACCACCATTTGGCAGTCCTGGAGGAGGTGATGGGAAGCCACTCGTCTATGGCTCGCTGCTCTTCCGATCTCTCATCCACCTGCCGTGCGAGCAATTCAATTCGATTCCATTCAATTCAATTCATGACCATGAAAAGCAGAGAAATCTCAACTCACCGTCTTGAAATGGTTGTTGTAATGATCGTGATGATAAGGCGAACCACCTTCTTCGGCCATGGATGCACCTGAAGACGACGACTACTACTATTACTACTACCGCAACTGCGTTTCAGAAACAGAAAAATTAAGTCAACCACCAACACTATGTCTATGCATATATGTATAATGTATTTATGTGTGTACTCTACACCACACAGCCCAATATATCGGCTTATTATTATAATTAATTAAAAAGTTAATTATTATTATTATTATTATTAAAAAACTCATGAGATGAGATGGATGGGGATTGGATGGAATACCAAAAAAAAAATTGAGAAGAATAGCGGCATGCAATTGAGGGAGAGTGAGGTGGCAAATCAATCATATAAATGGTTGACTATAGAATATATATATATATATATGTGTGTGTACTCCTTACAGATTCCAATTAATTGATGAGTGGCTGTATTTTCGAATTCGTAATTTGAAAATTGTAATTGGGAATTAATTAGTGATATATGAGTTGGCAGGGCAGGTTAGTGGTCATAGACTTTGTTGATGAAAACGATTACTTAATAAGCAATATATATTTTATGTAACTTACTGACTCAAAAATTGGAAAAAATATCTCACTTATATTCTATTATTACTTTTGTTCTTTATTTATCTGGTTGGCAAAATATATCTCACACATTTGCAAAAGTCATTATTTCTGTCATTTGACCGCGCGTGATGGCAAGTGACATAAATAGCGACTTTTATATTATAAACACGTGAGATATATTTTTCTAGAAAGATATATATAACAAAAATAATAATATTGTATAAGTATGGGATATTTTTTGCAATTTTTTTCTAATAAATCTCTGGCAATCAACCAGGTTTGCCACTACTCCCGTATTTATTATCTCTCACACATAGAGGACTCTCTCTCTATATATATATATATATGTGTGAATACAAGAATTGTAGTGTATGTATCCAACATATGAAAATACAAATTCGAGGTGCGTATGCAATATTTAAAATGATGTAACAACAAATTAGTAATCCACTCTGAAATTGTACATTTAATCAAGTCTCAATCCGAATCAAATTGCTTAAATTAATTAATTAGTGTTCATTGATAAAACTAAGTAACCTGAATCCATTTTAGTTGATGTTTTGTGTCAGGTAGTGCTGGACATAATCAAATTACTACTGTATGGCCGGCTTTATATAATATATATATAAGGAAATAACATTAATAATAATTGTAGTGATTTTGATGATAAATGAAGTGATGTTTCATTATACAATAACACGATATTTATATACAAAGGGTATTTTAGGCATCATTATATATACAATAATATATACTAACATCATCCTCATAATAAAAGTGAGTGTAGTAGACATCAACTTAAATTTATCTAAAATAGTATAAAAAAAACTCGGAAAAAAAAAGATATTTTAGTGAAGAGATCCGCCAATTGATCTTTAATAGAAATATGATGTAACAAATTAGCCTTAGCAACCACGTGTTACCTCACATCAATTTTATTGTGCTTCGTGCGCTTGTGAAAAGTATTATTATGCGAAAACTATATAGCTCTGACTTTTGCAGTGAAGAATAGTAGAAGAGGGGTGGGGGACACCAAGATCAGACAATAGCCAACAAAGTCATAAAAGTTCGAATGTAGAATCAGCAAAAGCGTCATACTCAAACTCCACATTGGACTTAATGACGACTATTTACTTTTTACTGCACCAACAAACCAAAGAGTCACCTAAGAAAAAACAAAAAACTAGTAATAGATTGACGATCTCATTAGTCCAATCTGCATTTGAGTAGCCCTCAAGAACCAAGGTCGAATGAGCTGAAAAGTATAGACTATTAATAATTTTACCCTTGACATAACAAATAATATAGAGCACTACAGAATAATGCAGTTCGCAGAGCATCCATAAAATGATTAACAATATGTATGCATGGACTATTTTAGGATTAGATATTGTGAGGTAAATCTGATCCAACCAACTGGCGATAAAAATTTGGATCGTCGAGAGGAAAGCCATCATGAGGAGTCAGGCAATAGTTAGTCTCAAGAAATGTGGAGATGATCTTGCTATCAATTAGGCTAGTACATGAGATAATATTAAATGCATACTTTGTCTTAAACAAGAAGAAGTCATCAGAAAAGTTCGAAATCTCAAGTCCCCAAAGATATAAAAAAAGACCAAGATTTTTTTTATCTCCAAGTGCTAACGAATATAGACCTGCAAATCAAAAATACCAAAAATGTTGTCTCTAACGATGATCATATTGTCAACATACAATAACAGAATAGTAATCCTAGTGGAACTCCAATGGATAATATAGTTGAGTCATGAATATTAAGAAAAAATCTATGCTGAGTAAGGATAAAAATAAACTTGACGAACCAAGTGCGAGGCGCTTGTTTCAGACCATAGAAAGCCCGATGCAATTTACACACCTTGTCGGAAGTTTCAATACCCAGAGGTGGGTCATATAGTCATTCTCCATCAAAGGCCTTCCCCTGGAATGTTGGACTGCGAAAGAACTTAGCAGGGTTGTGTCACATAGATTGGTACCTCAATTGCCTCAGACAAAATCACAAAAAATAGGGACAACCTCTCATACGCCCGGGTGCTAGTTGAAGTGGATGTCACCTCTAATCTTGTGGAAAAAATTGAAGTCTTGAATGAGAAAGGTAAATCCTTCCAAATCATGGTTGAATATGAAAACCTCCCATCCTTCTTTGCCTTTTGCTCCATGATTGGTCATTCTTGCAACTTGGATGAACAAAGACAAGATCATCTCCAATCATTTGATGTGGTCGTAACTGCAGGCCACAATTGAGTAGGAGACCCGATCGTGTTACCCCTCGAGGTTCCACTATCATCGCCAGTCTGCTGCTAGAACTAGGGACATACAGATCTCCAACAGATGTGAGGTTTTGGACGAAACACACCTAGATGCAACCGTTAACAATGCCTCTCCAACCGTGGCTGATCGGATTGACCTAGAATGCACTAACGATATCATGGAGCCATAGCCCCCCCCCCCCCCCCCAGCCGGTTGTGGGAACTAAGGGCCTTGATTCTGATCGAGTAGGCCTGGACTACGATGTTAATAGCTTAGAGCCATAGGTTCCCCTGCTGGATGAAGGTTCTTTAAGCCTCTATTTGGATCCTCAACCCTTAACAATTCAATTTGAGACTATTTCAACATTGAAGGTAGTTGATCCGTATCTTGTGTGCCTCAGAACATCAACCGAGCTTGCCCTAAGCTCCCCCTGGTTGTGAACCCTACTTTGTGCAATAAAATATTCAAGTGGACAACCATGAATCTCAAATGGCATCATCAACCTTCCAAGCAACTATCCAGCCCACTTCCAATGCTTCCCATGAGCCCAACCCCCTTGAAACAGTCGCTGAATTTGAGCAGCAGGCTTCTTGAGACGGCCCTCCCAAAACAAACTCGCATTTGATCAAAAACAAGTAGGTAGCCAGCTCCCAAAGTTCAAATGGTAGCAGGGATGATCCTTCTACGCCTCCGGAAATCCATCATGGTCATCACTACGGGATTCAAATCCGAAGATACCGTAGGGGACAACCCTCTAACACCAAACAAAAATAGGTGTTTGTTATCCATTCATCTTTTTGAAGTTCTTGAGACTAATTGTAATTCCACGTGCTTTGTAGACATCATCTGTCGTAAATTTCATGGTTGAGAATCTATTAATAATTTTGATTTCTCTGAAGTGGGTTGTATTGGAATTTTTCAGAACCCGGCTTTCACCTTGATGAATTTGGTTGAGATGGATAGCCAATTTATTTCTCTGAAATGCACCAGTAGAATGTCTTCTACCACTGGCTCATCTCATTTGTTTATGAGTTTAACTTCCTTGGGAAACGTCAAAGCCTATGGGATAGCCTCCGTTTTGGTGATACTTTTTAGGACCCTTGGATGGTTCTAGGCGACTAAAACTCTGTCCTTAATCCATCTGATCGGGTGAAAGACAACGTCGTTCGACCCTATGATTACAATAATTTTTTTCTTGTGTCTCCTCTCTTGGACTCAGTGATCTCCCATCCTTAGGATGTTGCTTCACTTGGACTAATTATCGCACTTGGGCCAAGCTCGATCGGGTTATTGTTAATCACTCTTGGCTTGCGGCTGATTTTATGAGCACAATCTCATTTCTTCCTACAGGCCTCTCGGATGCCGGCAATTGTTTCTCTTTTTGATCATGTGATCAAGAAAGGTACTTTATTTAAATTCTTCAACATGTGGGCTGCTCATCCCTCATTTTCGGAGACAGTTAAAACAACTTGGGATCATCAAACTGCTGAAACTACTCAATACCGTTTGGTAGAAAGTTGAAGTTATTATCATTTACCTCAATAAAAATCATTTGTCGCACTTCTTGGAGAGATCAAAGGTTGTCTCTACAACCCTTAAAACTTCTCAGGCTGAATCAGACTTGAACTTGGACTATTGGAATCCGGATGACCTTTCCTCTCTCTGTAAATAGGTTGCCCAGCTACAATAGGCTACTGCATCATTCGTTTTTCAGAAAATAAAATGTAAATACTTGGTACATAATGATAAATGCTCTAAGCTTTTTCATTCAATGAGCAAGCGCAATTCCAAGAAAAATTGTATTGTCATCCTTTCCCAGAATGATAGTACAACCACTACTTTTTTTGATGAGTTGATTAGCAAAATTATGAATTTCTATAAGGAGCTTCTTGGTTCCCCCGCAGATGCCTCAGGCTTCGACCATGAGGTCATGAAAAATGGCCTTTCCTTTTCAGATTCTTCCCAAGCCTAGCTTCTGGTCCCTATTACCATAGATGAGGTGCACTCTGTAATTAATCTAATGGATATCAATAAAGCCCTAAGTAATGATGGTTATTCCGTGGGTCTTTTTTACTAAGGCTTAGGACATTGTTGGCCTTGATGTTTTCCTTGTTGCTTGGGACTTCTTTGCCAATGGAAAAATGCTTAAAGAGGTTAACCATGCAAATTTGGTGCTCATCCCTACATCCACCCCATCTTCGGGTGTTGAGGACTTCCGCCGGATTGCTTGTTGCAAAGTAATTTATAAGGTGATCTAAAAAATTCTTGCAAATCGGATCAAGCTTGTGCTCCCGGAGGTTATTGACTT